AAGAAAATAGATTAAAGAAACTTAATGGACAAATGTAGCTTGACAAATATAACTTAGGTTTCTTTTTGCTGCCAGAAGTTCAATTGTTGTACCCACTTCGTTGGGAGAGGAGAAGGTGTGTAATGTCAGTTTTACACGTGGCTTGGGGGCTGACACAGTTGATACTCGTAAAACGTTGACTTTTTTACGAAAAAACTAAAACAACTGACACCATTGATACCTATTTCAGYTGCTCTTTTAGAATTTGGTAGTTTTAGTTCTAAAATCCAAAATTGTGGAAAATCMGAATCTGGATCTACTCATTGGAACGGACTTTTTTTAGGTGGAGTGTGGAATYGAGACAAAACTTTTCTTCAGTATTTCAACTTAAAAGCTATGCAAAAAATCTTGTATTGCTTGTAGGAGTGCTTTGATGTATTTGTTTTTAGGAATAAGCGAAAAACTTGGCTTTTATGAGAAGGAAAACGTTAAGAGTACACAGTGAAGATTTGAGTTTTTGCTCTTTCTTTTCATCTTCTTCGAACAAGAKATCGAAAACGACGTTCGAATATTCTTCACATGTGGCCATGCTAAAAAGAAAGAGGGCAGTCGTACAGTTACCATAGACTCCAAAGGGATGGATATAACGCATTACGATATTCAAATGAAATTTTTCACAATGGTTTTTGAAAAGGGTTTAGGAGTAAATTATGAGGTTTCAAGGTCGGGCCAAGATCAAAAAGTGAAAAACACAAATAAACGAATAGTCCGGTTGTACCTAGCCTCCTCCGCGGCAGGCATCTCGTTGGCTCTTTTTGCTCCTTGGGCTTCCTGTTTCTGTTTCTGTTTCCCAGTTCTTCTCTGCCATAAACTTTAACAGGGTTCCCAACAGAGAATATGTGGGGTAGCCTGCGGAGGGGGCTAGGTTGTACCTTACTTTATGTCATTAGTTAAGTAAAAATTATAGTAATACTTGATTTTTGATTTTTTAAATTTTTATTTAGATTACAGGAATAGTCTCATTTAAGCAGAGCATTGTCGTAGTTGGATGGAGCAAGAAGATGATTGTTTACAAGTAAGTAACATCATAACGCAGGCAGGCAGGCAGGCAGGCAGGCAGGCAGGCAGGCAGGCAGGCAGGCAGGCAGGCAGGCAATACGGTATTCACAATTTCCTACACTTTTTCCTAACACGTTTTCCTAACATTTTCAGAGATTATCGAGAAGAGGAAGAAGACGTGCCACGTATCTGGCCAGCTCATCACAAAGACGACATATTATCAATATCWTTTTACAGTCCTAACTTAGTAGCAACATCCTGCTATAATGGTGACCTCAAAGTCTGGAATCTCGACACTGGACACACATTATGCGTGTTAAATGCTAACAACTTTAATATTCCGATCATGTCCAAACCGGTCATTCCGCTGGAGCTGAAACGACGTGTGTCGGAGAATAATGCCGGTAACTTATCGTCCTGACCAGTGAAGGGTGGTGCCGGGGAAAACTTCAATATTATCGATACCCTGAAACAACCTCTGGGCTGATCTAAGTCAGGCCGCAGCTAATTCACAGATCGAACCCTGAAACAACCTCTAGACTGATCTATAAGTCAGGTCACAGCTAACTCACAAATCAAATTCTGAAACAACCTCTAGACTGATCTAAGTCAGGGCACAGCTAACTCACAGATCAAATCCTGAAACAACCTCTAGACTGATCTAAGTCAGGCCGCAGCTAACTCACAAATCAAATCCTGAAACAACCTCTAGACTGATCTAAGTCAGGGCACAGTTAACTCACAGATTAAACCCTGATAAACACCCGAATCAAGGGAAAGACCAATACAAACTCTGCTCCTCATATGTAATGCCCAGTCCACGATTCGAACACGAGACTCCAGGGTGAGAGGCGGGTGCAGTACTGCGCTTCTGCGCCACTCCTGATGCCTTGATCATAACGTGCTTGATATCCCAGTCATCAATTAGGAAATGCAGGTTTAAACGAAAATCCATTGACTGACCGTACAATATTTGTTTAGTTCTTAGTGCCGTGCTTGCGGATTTAATGCAACATCGCCGAGTATCTACGATCGATCCCAAACATCTATCAGGTTTCAAATCACCTCTCGGTAAGAGCTCCATTCTGAAAGATCCGTCCCTCCACGCACTTTCCAAACGAGCCAGAAGTATTTGTCCTGTGATGAATAAAGTAGATGTGAAAGACAGTGACTATGACTCAGTTGTCGATAAGGTACATATGCTTTATTGTCTGTCTGTCTGTCTTTCTG